ATTTTACATTTAGGGTAGACTAAACATCTACTGAGGTAATGATAATATACGAAACTTTATATTTCACACTAAGTTTTCAGTATGATGATGTCAAAACCTTGTCGAAACGTTGTACATTTGCTGTTATGTTAAACTTATATTAAAGTTTTTCTTCATTACCCATTCAAGCCGTCTCCAGCCATTATTAAACAATGAGTATATACAGATTTTTCGTCTCGTTCTTGAATTTTGCTTATACAGCGAATATATATATATGATACTGTTATCCCTAACTTAAGATAGCATTACAAAAATTACATAAACAAATTCCATCAGTCATACACTTTTAAAGTTCCTGTTATAGCTTTTGCTGCAGAATCTATTTGAGACTTCAAACACCGCCTTTCTTCGACGCTTTTATTGTATGGAATTGTTCTGTGTATATATATATATATATTTACTTGGTGTTCTTTTTTTAATGCAAATATGTTCAACTATAAGTCATTATTTTAATTTTTTTTTTGGAATTACAGTTTCTCCTAACATCTTCTTTTAAGAAATCAAACTCATATAGTGTGGTGTTTCTAAATAGAATATTAGTATGTTATATCATAAAATATAAGAGTATGTAAATAGGCTTTGAACCTATTTAAAACTCTTTACAGAAGAAGAAACAGAGACGTCGGTTGAAGTTTGAAAACTTCTACTGTCGTCAACATTGGAGAAATTACGAAATCAAATGACAAAGAAAATCGACAGAGGTGATTCTGAGATTTTTTTGGAATGAGTTCTCTTATCTGTTCAGGAATGTTAATCAGATCTGACAGTGACAAAGTGCGTTTCTCCAACCTCTTGTTCATCCGTTCAGGTTAAAGCACAGAAGACATTAGGCTAAGGTAGCGATGGGCAACGCCTGGGCACTAGTTTTTGTTCGAATCCGTCGTCTAGAATTTCTCAAAGGGCCATTAGCTTTAACTCCTTAACAAATACTCTTTTCAGAAGAAACCGACGCTATTTTGGAGACAGAGCTTCCTCTGTTTGTTGATGGCACTTTCATTCTCCCCCTCCCCTAACCTCTCATACCTCTTCAAAGAAATGGGACTGAATAAAAGAAAGAAAGCAAAGAAGAAAATTGAAAAAAAGATTAATTAATTACTTTAAGTCTTGGACACACGAGATGAAACAATTCACACTCAGAATTCAGCACGACATGAAGACAAAGAAAACAAAAACCACGAAGAATCAGGTGAGAAGAAGCGATTCTTTCAGTGTAGGATGTCTACTCACAAAGACTTCTTAGTTCTACCAAATTATACTTCTGTCATGATTAATTAGTCTTTTGCTAAAGGCACGTTTAGTTTCTAGGAAAACAACAATAAAACTATGCAAGTACTAATGTTTTTGGTAACATTTTCACGTATTTTGTCTGAGGCTGCCACCTGATGGGTGTGTGATTAACTAATAACAAGAAATTCCATCGAAAAGTAAGGTGAGTTTAAGATCATCTTTACCCTAAACTTGTGTATTTACACGTTCTCTTGTCATATCTTTATAATGGACTTTTATATTGTTAAGTGTTGTCTGTTTTACTCACAACTGTTTTGTATTAACTTAGATATACAAAACAGATCCTTTTTACTGAAAGCAATAAATATATATACATATATACAGGTATTCGCAAGTTGCCAGAACCTATTCGATATTTCGGAAAAGGAGACACACTAGGAGTATTTCTCCAAATTTCTCGAAGTCAGAGATGTGTAAAAAAGTAGCATTTCAGATCTATTTTTACATAGCTCTAATTTTAAACCGTTTAGATTTCAGATCTATTTTAACACAGCTCTGATTTCAAATCGTTCAGATTTCAGATCTATCTTAACACAGCTCTGATTTCAAACCGTTCAGATTTCAGATCTATCTTAACACAGCTCTGATATTTCAGACCTATCTTTACACAGCTCTGATTTCAAACCGCGACGGAGAAATTAAGAGGAATGTGGAAAACAACAACAACATCTGTACTTAATTTGTTTTCATTACAATTTTTAGTTATATTACTTTTCCAATATTTCGCCGTATTTCGGCGATTAAACCGTAACATTTAGGAGTATTCCTCACTTGAAGCTACGACTATATGTTCAAACACACACGAGAACTCATGAGCACTACATTAACCATACCCGTACAGGGAGATGTAATTCCTAATGAGCTCTCCAATACGTCGACGAGAGTCTGCCATCTTCTAGATGCTGTTTTTCTTGTTCTTTTAGTCAATGTTCTGAACATAAATCAACGTTGTCTGGTTATAAACTCGGTCGAGATTAAGAATATCATAAATACGCAATGGGGGTGAGGTATGTGTAATGCGCTCACCGTGGGGATCGAACCCCAAACTTTAGCGTTATAAGCCTTCGAGCTTACCGTTGAGACACATGGGGACTCAAAACAGAGTGCGACAGCTAAACACGAAAAAGAGCTAAGATAAAAATCTGCTATTAGTATTGCTACCCATGCTGAAAGTTTAACAGTTTCAGAGTAAAGATATCGAAGGTTGTTATTCTATTTTAGGGTTATATAATGATATAATAATGCATTTCGAAATAAGTGATAAATATATAGATATAATCGTGATAGAATATTATTCAAATTTTTATTTATGCTTCGTTTTGTCGAATTCCTTACTAGGTGAATCTTTTAGGTAACCCCCATTCTAGGTATTAATTTAGCGAGAAAAGAGCATTTGGCCTACTGTTAAAGAGGATGGTGATATATATTGTTTATAAGAAGTTCAAGTATTAAAATGTATTAATTTAAATTTCCCAACTCACCTCTATGAATTAGTCATTGTAGGGAAAGGGGAAAATAAAAACTTAATGGAACTGTATTTCGACAGCCAATAACGTAGGCTTTATTAAGCGTTGACTTTTCGTAATCAATCATATTAGGGAAAGAGGGGAAAAAACTTAATGGAACTGTATCTCGACAGCCAATAACGTTGGCTTTATTAAGCGTTGACCTCTTTGAATCAGTCATAGTAGGGAAAGGGGGAAATAAGAAACTTAATGGAACTATATCTCGACAGCCAATAACGTAGGCTTTATTAAATGTTTACCTCTGTGAATCAGTCATAGTAGGGAAAGGAGAAAAAAAACAAACTAAATGGAACTATATCTTGACAGCCAATAATGTAAGCTATATTAAGCAGTGGCTACCAGAGTCAGCCAATCTGATTTAGCTTTAGAAATAAATGCATTTCAAGGAGTGTTTGTCTCGAAGGTGGACCCACCCACAATTTTGTTTTTGGAAATTCTATACTCCTATTTGCACTGTTATTTGTTTCGGACAGCATTTCGTGGAAGGTTTTGAAATTAGCACCTTTACTTCCACGTTTACTATCCCTCTAAATTCGACTAATTACTTTCTGTTACAGTCTAGCCTTGATATCTAGAAGTTGAGTAACAAGGAATAACAGAGGATCAAACTAAAAACCGTGACCTATGGTCATTCAAACACACAGTAATAAATATTTGGTTTTAAATAAAATAAATGTACATTAGGTTTAGCAACACACAAAGGCAGAAATTTCAAAACTTGTTTTATCAACACCAACAACAAAAAAGGGTAGCGAAATCGAACATTATGAATTCATGTGTGCTTACAAAGGCCGTGATTAAAATTTTCATAAGGGGGCTACGACGAGTAAAATCACAAAAAGTAATGTTAGGAACAGGAGTCTTAGCTATAGTGAGGACACACTAGTGTTGAAGATAGGGAGCCAGTTTATTTACCTGTTTAAAATACCCTACCAGAAAATTGAAAATAAAAATTTGCCCTCGAAAACTTTTTATCTAACATATCCTTTAGGACTGCCAAATTAGAACAAAACTTTAGGATCTTAAAAGTTCGTTTCTTTGTGTTTTAATGCAAAACTGCACAATGGGCTATCTGAGCTGAATCTACCTCGGAGATAGAACCATAAATTCTAGCAAAACTGTACAATGGGCTATCTGAGCTGAATCTACCTCAGAGATAGAACCCTAAATTCTAGCATTATAAGCCTTCCGCTGAGCCACGGGGGTTAAGATGTAGAATGATAACAGTCGTACATTAAATATATAAGAAATTTGTCCCTGATGAAGAAAGGTCCACCTTTCGAAGTTTCTCGGGTTATAAGGTTTTGTATTTTTTGTGTTAAGAAGGGCAAAATATTGTTCTTGTTTAGAAATAAGTTTGGATAACTCATTCACTAAATACAGTAATTAGATCTGAGGTATTATTTTCACAAGACTCTGATTTTAAATCAGAAACTAACAAGTTAGGAGGAATGTTAAAAACATCTCCAGTTTAACGTGAGTTATATCTCAAATTTTAGGTCTAAAGTACAGTAATATTTGAAACTTAGTGTCAAACTATAGGAGGTTACAGTAACTATGATTTCTAATGGTTTAATTATTCGGATTACTATACTCGTCTTTATTGTGTATTATTATTTTCACTGATAACGCAATATGAAAACAAGAAATGGACCAGTTAACAGAAACATTCCAGAGAAAGGGATACCCGAAAGGTTTCATAGAACAGAAATACAGAGTACATACCGAACAGCAGGCACAGCCCCAAGAGAAACCAATAGCAACTGTGTTACTTCCATACATCAGAGGCCTATCAGAGACGATACGGAGAATCTGTGGACGATACAACATCAGGACCATCTTCAGAAGTAATACAACATTCCGAAGAACACTCACCAAAGTCAGACCACCGATACAACAGACCATCTTCAGAAGTAATACAACATTCCGAAGAACTCTCACCAAAGTCAGACCACCGATACAACAGACCATCTTCAGAAGTAATACAACATTCCGAAGAACTCTCACCAAAGTCAGACCACCGATACAACAGGCCATCTTCAGAAGTAATACAACCTTCCGAAGAACATTCACCAAAATCAGACCACCGACTCTAAGGAGCAAACAAAGAACTGCGTATATGACTAGAGCTAAAAAATAGAGGTAGCTCCAAAACACCTCAAAAAGTGTCCTCCTGATAGCCAAGTGGTTAGAATGTCCGTATTCGGGTTCAGAGGTTGGAGTCCTGGTAATTCCACAAAAACATTTCTGGTTGTAACGCATATATATATATATATATATAATAGTACTAAAAATGTCTGATATAACACCTGACGAGGCCGGAGAATCCACTGGTCGAAACATTGTGAAAATAATAACACCCATAATAAAGACGAGAATAATTATGCCATTAGTAATAGTAACTCCTTGTCTCAATCATTCCACAAAACTATAACTATGATTTATTGATACCTTACAGTGACAACTGAATAATGATCTGAGCGATTATGTAAATATATAAAATCCTTAATTCTGTTAGTACACGATGCTTTATGTAAAAAATATCTGGAGCTTAGCTCTTGAGTATAAATTAAAATGCCACCTTTGTCATTTGAATAGTAACATTATTTCTCAAATAAAGTTCGATTGAACAGTTAGAGCTTCCCTATCTAAACATGCAAAATAACACAAATAGCACAATAACATGATAACAAGAAATAGTAACAAGCATTCCGAGATCATGGTTTAATAAGATATGAACCAATCAACAGTTAGCAAGGTCATGGTTTAGGAGGATATGAACCCCAAAGAAGCAATAAAGTTTGACAAGATACTGAAGGAAATGGAATCTTTTGTCTTGCTAATAAATCTTTTGCTTCCCCACTCTTTAATCATTTGTCGTCACAAGATGGTGTGTATACGTCAGAAAAACGCCCGCCTGTCGTAAAAGTTATTTTTCTCTATTTTTTATAACTTTTATGCGAAATTTTAATAATCTGATCTTAGATTCTATATACATGCGTACATATGTGTGTGTTTGTGTGTGTGTGTGTATGAAAAGTTCAGTTTTATGTCTCTATGAGACGCAATATATCAAAATCTCAATTTCCAAGAAAAATTAAAAGTAAACGGTCTATGTCGGCATGAAATATGCTATAAGAAATTTTAAAACCATGCAACAAAGATTATGTATCATAAAACTTCAGATTATTGCCATAATGATTAAGAAAAGTTAATATTTGGTATATATCTACAATATTTGAAACTGATTGGATGTATATTTTTAAAATTTAAAATAAATATAAGACTAAGAAAATCGAGAATAATTATAAGATAACTCAATAATAAGTGAAACACACACACAAAACACGTTAAACAGAAGATTAGTCATGCCTTCTTACATCAGAAGTTAAAAAAGTCGACATGACTTTTAAGAATTGCTTAGGTTAGCCTCGACAACAGCTACCAATCGTCAATATTTTTAAATAACACATTTTGTGTTTCTTCAACGAAATTCTATTGTTCGATATGCACCGCTGCAAATAAATGGATGTTTGTACAGGTTTTTAGGGTCGTTTAGCTATGTGTATAATATTAATAACTGACTGCAAATAAATGGGTGGTTATACAGGTTTTG